ATAACTGATTGCAAGATTGATAGAGGAAATCATAGCATGAGAGGTGAAGAAATAAAAGATGGAATTTTTTTCACCAAACTGAAATATTAGCGGCTAAGTTGTCTACATAATCTTTGAAATAAGTAAATCAATTTATTCTTCAGCATAATTTTTACTTATTATTATTATTATTATTATTTCTACATAATCCGTTTGAAGAGAGGATGCCAAACATAAAGCAGGACACTTTGAGTTTTGTGGTATGGTTATTCCACCAGTTAAAAATTGAAATTTGAAAGTGAATATTGCAAGCTCATATTCTTATGAAATCAATTAAAACTGGTTTCATAAAAAAATGCCCTCCATTTCAATATTGACATTTTTTAAAAATTTGTATAGAGAATTTTTATCACAAAAAACAAAGAAAAAGATGGATTATTAGCATTCCTTATGCTTGGTGCTTTTTTTTTTCATTTTGATATTTGTCTCTTATTTTTAACAAAACAATTTACATTCCTTAATCCTTGTTTCCTTATCTGATGAAAATATTTGATTTATGAAAAATCCAGAAGCAGAATATGTGAATTTCTGTTCTTAGTTTTGAATCTTGCTTTTACTTATACTAAACTCCTTTGTCAGTATTAAATAGTAGAACTGCTTATAACAATTATCAGATTGTGGTTTTCGAATAAGAAAAAAACTGTTGCAACTATATATTGGAATGATTTATTTTAGTTAAGGATTAATATTAAAATTAATACCAGATTTGGACGGGTGTCTATGTACATAAGAATTATAATTCTTTTTACTATAAATTCTAAATTTAAGATTTTTAACGTTAAAATTTTTCACAAATTTTCCAATATTAAAAAGCAATTTACAAAAAGAGCACCCAGAGTACTTATGTTGGAACCGTTAAGGCAGGTCATTCCGGGACATTAGGTAAAGCCTTGGACCACCAATCAATGTTATCTTCACTAATTAATGTTTTCACCGATTAATGTTATCACCACATGTTTTTACTTTTTTTTTTTTTAAATACCAATAGTAGAGAAGGAGAAAAATAAATGTCTTCGATGGGCACCATCAAGAGATCACTAGATTTCATCTTTGTTAATAAATTATAATGTAAACTCTAGAGAAATAGGCGATGAATCTAAATTTCTCTAGTTATAATATAACTGAATTTCTCTAGTTAGCTAAATTTCTCTCGTTAGACACCATCAGTAGCAACAAAATAGGCGATGAATCTAAATATCTCTAGTTAGCTAAATTTCTACTTAGTCAACTCCCTTATCTTTCTCTCTTGAACAAAACAAAAAGGTAATGAATGTGACAAACAGAAACAAGTTTATTTATTGAATTTCTCCAAATTAGAAAGTCGTGTTCCATTATCCCAGAATTCTATTCCTTTCATATCTCTCTCTTATCAATAGTTAGCTAAATTTCTACTTAGTCAGGTAATGAAAGCTATCTCAATTAAATTTGCATAATTAGTATCTTGATTTAGTTTTTTTTTTTTTTTTTGTTACAAGGAAAGTAAAACTAACAAATTAACTAAGAAAGAGAAAAAAAAAAAACTATACCAAGCATAAACTTCTAAAGAAACATAAAAACGAGATATAAGTTTTGTTTTCTTCTTT